GAGAGAGAGAGAGAGAGAGAGAGAGAGAGAGAGAGAGAGAGAGAGAGAGAGAGAGAGAGATTGGAGAAGAAAGGATGAGGAAGAGGGAAGCGAGAGGTTTCATACTTCCTAAAGGAATAATCAGGTGTTAATTTCTTGATAACACATTAAAATCTTATCACCTGTGATTAAATCCTGTAACTCAATAAATTGAGATGAGGTGGAGGTAACCAAATCTCCTCCTCTTCCCTTTCTACTCTTACATGGGTGAAGAAGAAGAGAGTTCAGAGTATGATAATCCAGAAGGCAAAAGTTAAAGGTATATTTTATAAGCAAGAAGAATTTATCTAGCAAAACTAAGTATAATCATAAAGGGGAAAATGGATCTTTAATTAAATAGAATATTTCCAAGTATTCCTGATGAAGATATCCAAGATCAGTAGATAGTTTGAAGTGAAAACACAGGATTCGAGAGAAATATAGAAGAGTAATTAGATGGGGCTATACAAAGGGCAACTAGATGGTCTAGTAGATAGAGTGCCAGGCCTGGTATCAGGAAAACTCATCTTCCTGAGTTCAAATGTGACCTCAGACCTTACTACATGGGCAAGTCACTTAAGCCTGTTTCTTTTAGTTTCCTCATTTGTAAAGTGAACTGGAGAAGAAAATAACAAACCACTCCAGTGTTTTTGCCAAGACAATCCCAAATGAGATCATGAAGAGTCAGAGGAAAAAAGGCTGAACAATAACAGCATATGATGAAGAAATATTTATATAGTAAAAGAGGGAGAAGAAGCAAGTGCCCCCTCAGGATACTAATTTTTTCAAAGGTGAGAGAGGGGAAAAATTAAGGAAGAAGACCTGGGATAAATTTTGCTTTGTTTTGATAACATTAAGAGGAAATAAAGAAAAAGGAAAGGAAAGGAAAACACTAATATGGAAGAAAGAAGGAGGTATGAGGGTGAAACCTGCTTTCTCACCTAACTAGGATGCTCAAGAAGCAGAAAGGAGCAGGGAGAGAAGGTTACACATGAACCTCACTTTTATCTGAATCAGGCAACAGAGGACTGAACACACACACACAAACACACACAAACATACTCACAAAGAGTTTTGTGTAAGAATACACTAAATTTATCAAGAAATCAGTCAGGTATGGAAATGGAGATGGGAGAAAGTGATTAAGGAGGAAAATAGATTTTGAGAAGGATTAACAACAAACTCAATTTTTTGAGATTGTAGGATAAAGAAGGAGAAAAAAGAAAGAAAGAAAAGGTAAGAGCTCATGCTTGGGGATAGGGTGAAGTGAAGAGAAGAAGAGTAACGGAATGGATGTAGATTGCATTAAACATAAACCTCTAGTATTAAAAACCCTCCTCTCCCAATACCCTCTTCTTTCCTTTAATTCTCAGAATTTCCATTTTTTTTGTGTTATGACAACCTCTTTAGGATACTCTCCCTATTTGCAGTCATGCTAAAAGGATGGGTTCCCAAGAGGGCAATAAGGGGAAAAAGTGTTGAAGGGTAGGCTGGAGGAAAATACACAATTAAAAATGTAAGTGCTATGATCTCACCCACGAGATAGATGAGATTAGCATAATGTATTAGAAAGCAGAGTTGTTACATGATATTTGTGTGAAACATACTTGAAAGAAAGATGTACTCTGAGTAAAAATCAAGGGGTGGAAAAATTTATTATGTTTCAGGTGAACTAAAAATAAAGTAGGGATGGCTAGCTATCATGATTTCATACAGATTTGATTAAAAGAGATAAACAGGGAAACTACATTGTGCTTAAGTCTACCATAGACAATGAATTAATATTAATACACTGCATAGCATAGCATCTAATATGTAAAAGAAAAGTTAATCAAACTTCCAGAAGAAATAGATTGAGAAACTATAATGACTGGGGATCTAAATTCATTCCCTTTCATATCTAGGCAAATTTAACCGAAAAGTAATAAATTAGAGAGAAGAGAAGAACTTGAACAGAATTTTAGGAATTTAAATATGATAGATCTCTGGAAATTATTGAACGAGAACTGAAAGGTGCTACCACCCTCCCAGTTCCCCAGGCTCACAAGATAGGTGGTTTTTTTTTTGAGTCCCCACTCTCTCTCACCCTTTTGCAATGTCCAGTCTTTTGTCAAAACTTATCAACTTTACCCTTGCAACATTTCTCACAGATGTCTCCTTCTCTCCTCTGATATTCCCTGTACCCTGGTGTAAGCCCTTTTCTTAAGTAATAAGTTTACATGTTATATACTTAAAAATATTGAAGTAGCCTGCTGGGTTTTAATCACTTTCTCTTCCTGACTCAGTTGTTGCAATTTAGGGAGATTTCTTGTTGACTTTGCTCATGCTGAGAGATAAGGAATAAATTTATGTGTTATATACTCAAAACTATTAAGTGCTAGATAACCACATTATTCTGGATAAGTAAACTTGCTTAGTGTTTTCATAATGGTTCAATTAGAGGCTATGTCTTGTTTCAAAATACAGACATGATTTTTTTTGTCACTTTATATGCTTAGAGGTATTATTTGGTTTCTGAATTTAAATTTAAACTATTCCGAAAGGAATCTCATTTCATACTTTACTGTTAGTCAGCTGGCTAAATGTAAAGAAGGAAGAAGGAAGAATAGGCAGGCAAATTATTGCTATTGTGACCTACCCCACTTGAAAGTTCTGATTTTTTCCAAGTATATATTATACCTATCCCATTTGGAATTATTTATTTTGTGTCTCTTAATACCTAACACCTTGATGTTAAATTATAGTAGCTACTATTCTAGGGCACATCTGGCCTTTTATCCTAAATGACTTTTGTATCCGAGCAAAACCTAGATCATCTGAACAAATTCTACAGATTCCACAAAATATGTATATATGTTGATATATCTCTGTGTGTAAGCACACACACACACACACACACACACACACACACACACACATATGTGCCTTTAAGACCTGTGATTTCATTGGTGTAGGGAGCTCTCACCAGTGAGGAAACTCTTTCTAGCAATGGAGGTCAGCACCTTCTCTCTAACTTGCAGTATTAGAGAGTTGTGTGAGTCACAGAACTTAAGTGATTTGCCCAGGTCACACAGCTGGTATGTGTCTACATATCTGAGATAGATTGTGTAATGCTTGGTGTATATTTTTGTGTATGTATATGTACACAAATAACAGATATATTTTTGCATAGATATATGTTTATAAAAAAATTTTATATGTATATAAAATTACATATAGATATATATTTTATATTTATTTATAGATATGTATGTAGAGTGTAGGATGTGTTCAAGGAAGATTATTACCTCTGGTGTGAGGGCAGCCAAGCCATTTTCATGGCTGCTTTCTACCTTTGGTAACTACCTGATTCACCAAACTCACCTGTGGCTTTAAGAAGCTGTAGTATGTGCAGTGGCCACGCGCTGGTAAACCATTTTGGCAGACATGCTAAACCATGTTGAGGGTAACCGAGGGGTCTCAAATCCATCACTGAATTAGGGGAGTATCTACCCCGAGCATGTGAAGACTTTCCCAGCAGAATGGGGGGATGAGAATAATTTGTTCCAATAGCCATGAAGGCAGTGAAGCAGGTGCCAAGGAGTGCTTAGAGCATGGTTAGACATCAAAGATGCCAAGGTCATCCATTGTATCCTGAGCCATCACCAGTCATCTTGACTTTGTCTTGCCACTGGACTTTGATGATGCTAGAAGAGAGAGTGAGGTCACCAACTTTGCACCATTCCACCTCACTTAAATCCAATTTATATGTGAATCAAAAGACATCATCCACACCATTTTACTATTTTTACCTACCTCAAAGTCCTGTGGTGACAGGCAAGTGACACTGGGATACACTGCGAGCTATAGTCACAACCTGGCCTGCAGATGGCCCAGACCATAGGGTTGGCTTCTCACTGGGCTGAAGCAGCAGTGGGATTTGGCAGCCCCCTGGTGTCTGAGCAGCATTTTTGAAGGACCACACTACTCATCTCCTGGTACGAGGAAGGGGCTAAAAAAAGGTGCCTTAAAAATTGTCTCCTACCTCACCATCGTCTGCTTACCATGTTAGGTGGGGATCCCACCCTGTGGTCAAAATACACACAAAAATGTACAAAAACTTTTACAAAGATGATTCCACTGACCATTGGTACATGGAATGTGCACAAACTTATGGACAACATGAAATCCAGTAGACCTGATAGAAGAAAAACTCTTGTGAGAAAACTTAGCAGGTATCACATTCAATTAGAAGCCCTCAGCGAAACAAAGTTAGCAAATGAAGGACAACTTACCAAAGTTAGAGCTGGATACACATTTTTCTGGAGTAGCTGTGGCAAAGGGGAGTGCCATGAAACTGGTGTAGATTTTGCAATCAAAACTTTTCTAGCCAACGAGCTTGTATACTCACCAAAAGGAGTGAACAAAAAACTCCTGACCTCATGATTGCCACCTGCAGGAAAGCACCATGCCATCATTATCAGTGCATATGCTGCCACCATGATGAACCCTGATGAGGTCAAAGAACAACTTTATGAACACTCGGAGACCCTCATTCTCAATGTGCTGAAAGAGGACAAGCTTACAATTCCAGGTGACTTTAATGCCAGAACAGGCACAAACTACCATACATGGCAGGGGATACTTGGGAGGAATGGAGTTGGAAACACCAACAGCAACAATTATTTACTACTGAAGACTTGTGCATCTCATGACCTCCTCATCACCAACACTGTATCCCATTTACCTAAATGCAATAAAACTTTATGTATGCACTCTTGTAGCAAACATTGGCATTTAATAGATTATGTCATTGTAAGGAGAAGAGAGAGACAGGATGTGGAAGCAGGAACAGTTTGCTGCTGACTTAGAGGAAAAGCTGAGCCAACACATAATTGACAACAGTGAAGCAGAAAAGGCATCAGCCACTTTCAGAGATTTGGTGCACTGCACTGCATTTATCCATCTGGGCCAGAGCACTCATAAACAGCATCAAGGTGAACTACTGCACTGCACTGACAGTAAATTATTTAAATTGAAAAGGCTACAAGCCAAGACTAAAGTGGAGGGAGAGTTGGTATGCAACTTTTTGTGTATAACGCTGGGATTAAGCAACATCATAGAATGTTAGTTCTCTAGGATTATCTTTAGAAATCATCTAGGTCCACTCTTTAATTTTATAAAGAAGCTGAGGACCAGAGAGGTTAGCTACCTGCTCAAAGTCACATTGGAACTAAGACTAGACAGAACCCATCTCTTCCTCTCCAGTCCTGTGTCCTTTCTGCTACACCATGTTACTCCAGTGTATGTACACCAGTAAAGCAAACCCATAATGCAAATTATTAATACTATACTGGTAAAATATATGTGTGTGCAAGTATGTGTGTGTGTCTGTCTCTTTGTCTTTCTGTATATGTATGTGTGTTAGTATATGTATATTACACATATAATATATATATATTAATTTTACAGATAAATTAAAGCCAGACACTTTAGCAGTTTCTAAACAATTTTTGTTGTTCAATCATTCATTTATATCCAACTTCACATGATTCCATTGACACTGTCCAAGGGGTTTAATAGTTTGCCATTTCCTTCTCCAATGTGCCCCCCATTTTACAGATGGGAAACTGAGGCAAATAGGGGTTCAGTGACTTGCCCAGGGTGACACAGCTGGTAAATGACTGTGGCTTGATTTGAACTTAGCCTTTTCTGACTCCAAGTTTGGTGTTCTATCCACTGTACCACATAGCTGCCCCTTCTAAACAATGCTCCATAATTCAAAATTATAATTAGCTCCTTGACCGTGTGATAAATGAAGCAACAGGCCTTAGTACCATTGTTTCTCTGTAACTCCTTTGGTGGTTTGCAGTCACTCAGAAGTCACAGTATCTTGAAGATGAAGGTTTCTGTATCTCTATGTAATATGTTTAATACAGGATATAATCTGGGATAGCTCACATTACAGGGAATAGCTTTATTTTCCTCTCCAAGATGAAAATTTGTTTCTTTTCAGTATTTCTATTGTTATTTTCAGGACAGCTAGATGTCACAGTGGATAGAGCTCTGGACTTGGAGTCAGGAAGGCCTCAGTTCAAATATAGCCTCACAAAATTCCTAGCTGTGTGACCTTGGGCAAGTCACTTACCTTCTGTTTGCCACTGGAGAAGGAAATGACAAATCATTCCAGCATCTTTGCTAAGAAAACCCTGTAAACAGAGGTCCACAGAAGTCACAAAGAGTTGGACTGAACAACAATTGTTATTTTTGAAAGGGATCACGAGGAGCCAAGTTTCCTTTTAACCTCTCACTCCCTCATAGATAAATATGACAAGTTGTGGATTTAGATACAGTCTTTTCATTTTGTTACAGAGAATGGGGTTGTGGGGAGGTGACTGAGGGGAAGAGTAAAACTACCAACCAACACTAAAGCACAAACCAACCAAATACTACTAAAGGCTTTAACAGTATTGCTTAAGGTCATTGTTAAATGCCTGGTTTGGGGTCCTTTGTTTAACTGGCACTGATAAGGTCAAAAGATAGGGAGAGATTGAAAATAGGTGATAAAATGGAGATGACAGAGGGGGCAATCTGTTGGAGGAGACAGAATGGCAGGGGATTGCTTGAACAAGAAGAGGGGTTAGCTTTGGTAAGGAGTAAGGCTACTTCATCATGTAAGGTGGGTAAAGGAGAAAATAGTGGCAGAAGGCACCTGAGTGATAGAAGATGAGGAAGAAGGGAGAAGCGGGACTTCACAGCCTCATTTTTTTCTGTAAAATATGAGGCAATGATGTTTGCTGATAGAGTAAGTGGAAGGGGAACTATCTGAAGTTTGAGTGGGGATGAAAAGCTTGGGAAGAACTGTGGATGGTGAAATAATGAGTTGATAAACTAAACAATGTGATTTCTCTACATGTACCTCACTTCCATTGTTCTCTGTGCTGCCCCTGCCCCTGATGCATATATTTGATGGACAGTTCACTTCATGTGTATGGGGGAACTTGTGAAATAGAATTTGTGTTAGATGTGCGTTACCACTCTGGTATCCAAGGTAGTAGCCACCCAACTCACAAGTGCTAATGCAAATTCAAGGTAATAGAATAACTCGTAGAGGCAAGCAGCCAGGAAAAAGAAGACCTTCAAATATGGAAGAAAAGCAATTAGGCTTGTAGGATTGGCTAGCAGTCCTGTTGGAGTTATGTAATGTAAATTTGTACCAGACCCAGTCAAAACAGTTGTGTGATTTTCTCCACGTTCATTCAGCAAGCACATGTTTAGAAGTAAAGGTAAATAGTAGGAAAGGCAGCCCAGGCCAGGGTTTGACTGGGTGTAATCAATGATATAAAGAGGCTAAGGACTCAAAAGAGGAGGTCAGTGTAGAGTTTAATTTGTTCATCAAAGAGTCAAGACACGGAGAAAATGAGAGAGTTGAGGTGCAGGGGAAATGGCCTGGGAGAGAATTAAGCTGTCAAGGTATTACAGGTCATGGTGAAGACGAAGAGTAGTGATTTGTAAGGGAAATAAGTATAAGGAAGAATCTCAGAATTCTTTTTATTTGCATTTTTCTAATTAGTAATGATTGGGAGCATTTTTTTCCATGTGGCTATGGATAGCCTGTATTTCTTCCTTTGAGAACATAGGACCTATGATGCAATGTATATGTATATATATGTATAATAATATGTAATAACAATAATTTTGGTTCTACCTGATGGCAATTTCTGTTATTTTTATGTCTGCAGCAAAAGGGTTCTGAGGCAACCAATGAAAAGGAGACCCCTTCTGGTGAGAATGGTAAGACAGTAAAAAACACCCATACACACAGGCAGTACATACAGCACTAGGTTGATTGAACACAGGAAGATATTGGTTTAAATCTTGTTTCTGACACTTATTAGCTGCGTGACTTTGTCACTTAATCCTTCTACATGTCTTAGGGAACGAAGTCCCTAAGAATAATTTACTATGTCACAGATAAGTTGTGTTCTGTATTGGTTTAAGGATTTCCCATAAAAGGAGTTCCCTATACTGACAAAAGTATGGAATTCTGTATGCATTTGAGAATATGTTTACATATATACATATATAATGTAATACACATATATGTGTATTATATATATTATCACTCTGGCCACTCTGCTGAGTCTATCTCAGGAAGAGCTCTGTGTGTGTGTGTGTGTGTGTGTGTAAGAAAATAGCTTGTAAACATAAAAACATTTTACCTCTGAGTGTTTCTGTTGTTGGGAATAATTGCAAGTCAGTTTGTTTCCTTTTTTTTTTCAGGAATGCCTCAAGTATTTCTCTGTTGTTGAAGGTCCGTCCTTTTCATTTGATGATTAAGCTTAGCTTTTCAGGATATTTAATTTGGGGTTGTAGCTTCAGTTAACTTTGTTTTTTGGAATGTGTTATTCCATTCTTATCTTTATTTTTCTCATTATTATGGAATCCATTTGGTTTATTCTAATTGCTTTTCTTTCATATCTGAAGGTCTTTATTCCTGGCTGCTTGCCTCTACGAGTTATTCTCCTACCTTGAATTTGCATTACCCCTTGTGGGGTGGGTGGCTGTTACCTTGGGTACTAGGGTGGTAGTGCACATCTAACACAAATTCTATTTCACAAGTTCCCCCATAAACATGAAGTGAACTGTCCATCAAATACATGCATCAGGGGCAGGGTTAGCACAGAGAACAGTGGTAGTGAGGTACATGTAGAGAAATCACGTTACTTAGGTTGCTTACTCTTCTGATTTCTCTCCTAATGCAGTCTCCACAAAGCTTAACTCTTGATTACCAGGGATAGCTTTCAGGCTTATGGCATCTTCTTTACTTCTAGGTATCATGCTTCTTGAAGCTGCTTCTAATCTCAGTCACCTGTCTGTCTTTATCCATGGTTGTCTGGAATATCTTTCCTCCCTTAACTGTGCCTTTAACAATCCCCAGATTCTGGATATGGTGTCCTCTTCTGGTCAGATTGCTCCCCTGCTAGATGCTGTGTCCAATCGTGTAGGTTTGAAGAGAAAGAAATACCCTCTTCCCATCTCCAAAGCAATTCCCTCTCAGGGGCTGAATTCTTCCTTAGCTTCTGGTTTCTGCCAGAGCTGCCTTGACCTCCCAAGATACTTGATTAACTCATTGGCTATATGGATTAGCCATTTAAGATTTCTAGGAATATGGTCAGTTTTTTTTCTTATTAAAATTTAATTACAGCAGAGGAAGGAAAATTCTATTTAATTCCATCAGAGAAAGGTGTTCATAATTTGTAAAGGGATCACTGAGTGAACTTCTTAATACATAAACATCTCAGCATTTGTGATTCTATCAAGTGATTATATCAATTGAATTGAGGGGTGGGTATGTGGAAATCATCCCACTCCCTTATATTGTGTGGTATTGACTACCCTAACCCCCATTGCCTGCAGACTAAGTATGTTGTATTTCACTCCTTTCCCAGTGTTCTTTTGTACCCTTAAGGGCATTGGGAAGTGTCTGCCAATAGCTCTAGTGCCTATTGATGGTGTTTCAAGTGTAGGGGGTGTTCACCTACACCCTAGCTCCATTTAACCACTTACAGTTGGTTTAGCTTTTACAAAGAAATATTTATTTTAAACGGTATAAGCACAAACACTCTCCAACATATGGGAGGCATAATCTCTCTCCCTTACCTGTATCAGCTCAGTCACTGAGAAGAGGAAGGGGATTAGGTTAAGTTTATATTGTCCTTGATTTGTCTCTAATAATTTTCCCCCAAATGGGATTTCCCCCTCTTTCTCTGTAATCATAGTACTAATTTTTTTCAGTTATTTAGCTGAATATATTTTAAGGCAACCTTATACCCAGTGGCTCTCTTCTTCTTATCTTTAAGCCACTTTACCCCTTTCCCTTGTTTTAGAGTTTTGCTTAACTTAATAGTTTTTTTCTTTCTTATGAAACACTTTCAAGATTCAACTCAAATGCCACTTCTTTCAAAAAACCATTCCCATTTTCTCCAATTATTATTTCCCTATTCTAATATACTACATATGCCTTGTGTACAAGTGTGTACATAGTGTCAATGAGCTTATAGTCCACTGGGAAATAACCACATATGAACAGAAAATCCAGAATATACACAAGGCATATATAGAGTGTCAGAGCAGGGAGATAATAATTGGGGAAATAAGAAGGGGTTTTAAGAATCAGAGTTTAAGAGGGAGAGCCTTCTACCCGTGGAGTATAGCCTGTGCAAAAGCACAGAGATGAGAAAATGAACATTGTATAGAGGAAACAGCAAATAGGCTTGATGGGGGTATTCTGTGTACTTGAAAGAAAGTTTAAGAGGAAAATTAATGAGTTCTATTTTGAAAATGTTGAGTTTGAGGTATCTGTGAATTATCCAGGTGGAGATGTCCTGCAGTAAATTGGAGATTTGGGGTTAGAGCTCAAGAAAGAGTTGAGGGCTAGACATGAGGTGGGTATCATGTGCATAAGGAAGATTGTTAAATCCATGAGAGCTGAGTACAGAGAGAGAAGCATAGGGGAGGATGAGGGGGAAGATGATGATGAAGGAGAAATTATGGATATCACACCTGCCAAAAGAAAGGCTGCTTCTGTGAAGCTGGCCTTGAGAAAGTTGAGATAGGTAAGGAATCAGAGGAGGAGGAAGAGGAAGTGCCAAAGAAGCACCAGGGAAAGTAAAAAGGAAATGGGCAAACAGAAATCCCTTGAAGCTAAGACACAGAAATTAGAAACTGGAGCATCTACAAATTTCAGTCTCTTCACTGCTAACCCAAATTTCCACAAAGCTGCTTCTGAACTAAAATCTGACATCATGGACTTCTTTGTGGGAAAAAAAAGAACCTTGCATTTGTGGACATGGCACCGCCAGGAAATTTGGCTATGTGGAATTTGAATAACCTGAAGACATGGAAAAAGCTCTGGAATTCAGTGGCCACAAAGTCGTTGGCTCTGAAATGAAACTAGAAAAAGCAAAAAAGAAAAGAAGATCAAAATGCAAGGATGCTCTTTATTAAGAATCTGCCTTATAAAGTAACTCAGGAGGAACTCAAGAAGTGTTTAAAAATGTTATTGAGTTTAGACTAATCTGTGCCAAAGATGAGACATGACAAAGAATTGCCTACATTGAATTTAAGTCAGAAGCAATTTAGGGCCTCACAAGAGAAATAGAGAGCTGAGATTAATGGTTGGGCATACATTCTGAACCACACAGGAGAGAAAAGTCAAGGACAAGAGAATACAAGAGGTGGGAAGAATAATGCCTAGAGCAGGAATGGCAACAAAGTGGCAGACTCAAAGACATGGTTGGTGAATAACTTTGGCTACAGTGTCACAGAAAAAAGTCTCCAAGTAATGTCTGAGAAGGCAACATCAATAAGCTTGCTCCCAAACAACCAATGCCAACCTAAAGGATTTGCATTCATTAATTTGCCTCCATGGAAGATGCAAAAGAAGCTTTGAATTCTTGTAACAATATAGAAATTGAAGGCAGAGTCATCAGGTTGGAGTTAAAGGGCCATTAGACAACTAATGTAGTCCCAAGGATCCAGTCCTACGAAATTTTGTTCAGCAAAGGTCTGTCTGAAGACAGAAGAAACATTGAAAGATTCATTTCATAGTTCTATTGGTGCCAGGATAGTCACAGAAAGGATTATCTAAAGCATTCAGTTTTATGGACTTCAGCTCAGAAGAAGATGCTAAAGAGGTCATGGAAGACCAGAAGATTGATGGAAACAAAGTAACTCTAGATTGGGCCAAGCCCAGTGGCTTTGGAAACCATGGTGGCAGTGGCCATAGAGGGTTTGGTGGCCAAGCTGGTGGTAAATGAGGCGGGGGATTTGGGGGCAGAGAGCAAGGAAACTTTGTAGGTCAGGGTAGTTTTTGACAAGTCCAAGGAGGAAACAACAAGCCACATGTAAAGAAAACAAAGTTTGAATAGCTTCTCCCCCATTCCCTTTCCCCCTGCTATTTCCCGTAGGAATTTTATCCTGTCATCTAATCTTTGACAGAGCATTCTGAAGACATTTTAAGAGAAACACGAAGTTCAGAGGTCTTCTTGGAAAAACTTGGATAACATTTCAAGGGAGAGAGCTTATTGGTTTTAATGTTAAATATAAACTTTTTGTGTAGACGTGTGATAGATGCAGGAGTTAACCTTTATGTCTGTGAGTTGTCTTGAGTTTATAATGTTATGCCCCATGTATAAAACAATTTTTCATACAAAAATTAGTAACTGTAAAAAATAGAACAAAATAAAAAATGAAAAAAGAAAATGTTTCATTTCATCCCTAACTTCTAACTGCCAAATGTTATAGATGCAACTCTAAAATCAGTGCCTTCTGTTTAGGTTCAATGTTGGGACAAAATGAGGCACTTATGAGTCATTGAACACTTAACAAAGGAAGAGGTTTGCTTTGCCCTAACAAAACAAGTATATGCAACAAAGATATATAGCAAGGCTACAGTGGTAGTTGACTTCTCTCAACATGGTCCCCCTCATGTCCTTCTGGAAATGTGTCCAGTCAGTCAGTCATCAGAGTTCATCAACTTGTGTAGTATCAGGAAGTCACCAAATTTCAGAGGCATCAAGCCTATGTGGCTTGGGCTTTTTATTGGCCCTACGCTAGAAAGCTGTATCATAGATTGTATATATGGGTTGTGTGTGGAGAGGAAGCTGTGTAAGCATTTCTTTCATGGAGTAACTAATGGATTCTCTCTATTTTCACTTTGCCCTTTGATTCTAAAAGATCTGGAAAGCTTTTTGAAACAATGTCTTGAAATTTCATTTCTAGGCGCTCCTTTTGGTTATGCCTTTCAGGTAATCTAATGATTCTTAAATTTTCTCATTTTTTTTAAGGTCATTTGTTTTTACTATGAGATACATTAACTTCTTTTTGGTCCATTCTGATTTTCAAGGAGTTTGGGTTCTTTTGGAGTGTGAGGTTTTATAACTTTTGTTCCAAGGTATTAACTGTTTTTCCAATTCTGTCTTCTATCAGTCTCATTTCACCATGTTTTTTTTTTTTTAGCACTCTCATTTGATTTTAATTTTAATTAAAATAATTCTTTTTAAATTTTTAATTTTTTATATTTTAATTCATTTTAATTCTTTAAACAAACTTTACATTTCTTCCATGAATTCTAGATGAACTTGTGCCTCAACTTTTCTTTTAGGATTGCTTATGGATGTTATGGAGGCAGTCTTTTATTTTGGAATTGTGCCTTGAGTAACCTTGTAACCATATTAACTTTTGATGGTAGGGTTTTTTTTTGGTTTGTTCATTCTTCCAGGCTTTAGACTTTTTGTTAGGGTCAGGATCTGCGCACTTTGAAGGCAATGTGTGGGCTGAGCTTGTGTCCTCTTGGGTCCTTGTGCTGCTTTCTTGGGGGTTAATTAATTGTGTATAGTTGTGTATAATTCCAGGATCTCAAGTTCAGGCTAGGGACCTGCAAATTTTCAATGCTCCCAAAATGGTGTGTTCTGGGGCAAAGTCTGATTGCTGCCCTTTTGGTCTGAGCTCTGAATTTCTGGCTTGGGTTTGAGAACTGGAGCTGGGTACTGAGCATCTGAGCTGCAAATTGACACCTGTTCCAGCATCCTTGAATGATTTTGCCAAAATGTAGCCCACTTTTATGGATTTGGGAACTCTCCTTTTCCTGATATACAGTGTTGGTCCCTTTTCAGTTCCTGCAGGCTGCCACGCTCCATGAGGCATCCTCCTCACCTCAGACCTCTATGCTTATCTCTATGCTAACCTGGTTGGAAACAAAATGACATGCTTTTTCTTGAATTTCCTGATCAGGACTTGGTCTGGAACATTTTCTAGGTCTTGGGGGAAGGAATTTGGCTGTGTTTCTTCCAGCTATTAGACCATCTTTGCTCTGTCTCCCAAGAGGCCCCTTTGACTCTATAATATCTGATCTCTGGGATCTTGTCCCTTCAATCAGTTGCTGTCTTTCATTTTTAATCCTTCCTTACTCACCGATTCTTTCCCTTCTACCAACAAATATACCTAGGTTTTAGTGGACCTTGACATCTCCTCAGGTTATCTTAGATTTCTTCTACCTTTCCTAGCCAAATTACTAGAAAAAGTTGCCTTAATTTCTTGCCTGAATTTCTCTCAGTTTTCCTGATACTCATTCATTTCTGTCTGTTTCAGTCCAGCTTCCAACCTACCATTCTACTGAAACTTCACGTTCCAAAGTTACTAATAATCTCAGCTGCTAAATTTTTCCATTCTTTATTCTACCTGATCATTGTATAATGTGGCTGTTAATGTGTGCAATGTTCTCCTGGTTCTACTCACCTCACTGAGCGTCAGTTCATATGGTTTTTTCATCAGGTTTTTCTGAAACCATACCACTTGTCATTTCTTATTGCACAACAATATTCAATCACAATCATGTAACACAACTTGTTTAGTCATTCCCTAATTAATAGGCATACCCTCAATTTCCAATTCTTTTCTACCACAAAAAGAGCTGCTATAAACATTTTTGTACACACTGGTTCCTTTCCTTTTTCTTTGATCTCTTTGGGATACAGAACTAGTCATGGTATTGCTAGATCAAAGGGTATGTACAGTTTTATAGACCTTTGGGTATAGTTCCAAATTGTTCTCCAGAATGGTTGGACTAGTTCTCAACTCCACCAGCAGTGTATTAGTGTCCAAATTTTTCCATATCCCCTTCAATGTTTGCCATTTTCCTTTTCTGTCATGTTAGCCAATCTGCTAGGTTTGAAGTGGTACCTCAGAGTTATTTTAATTTTCATTTATCTAATCAATAGTGATTTAGAGCAATTTTTTTCATATGACTATAGATAGCTTTGATTTCTTCTTCTGAAAACTGCATCTTCATATCCTTTGACTATTTATCAATTGGGGAATTACTCATATTTTAAAAAATTTGACTCAGTTCCCTATATATTTAAGGAATGATGTCTTTATCAGAGAAAACTGCTTTTTAATCCCCTATCTGCTTTCCTTCTATAATTTTGGCTGCATTGGTTTTGTTTGTTAAAAACTTTAAATTCATGTAATCAAAATTATCCTTTTTTATTTCCCATGATCCTCTCTGTTTTTTGTTTAGTCATAAATTCTCCCCTTATCCATAGATCTGACAGATAAAATTTTCCATGCTCCTTTAATTTGCTTGTGATATCACTTTTAATGTCTAAATCATGTACCTATTTTGACCTTATCTTGGTATACATTGTGAAATGTTGGTCCATATCTAGTTTCTGCCAAACTACTTTCCAATTTTCCCAGGATTGTTGTCCAATAGTAAGTTCTTTTCCCCAAAGCTTGGATCTTTGGGTTTATCAAACTCTACAATATTATGGTCATTTACTACTGTGTAATATGTACCTAATCTATTCTAGATCCACCACTGTATTTCTTGGCCAGTACCTGGTTGCTTTCATGATTACTACTTTGTAATATAACTTGAAATCTGGCACTGCTAGTTTGCCTTACTTCATGTTTTTTTTCCTTGACGTTTTGTTCTTCCAAATGAATTTTGTTATTATTTTTTTCTAGCTCTATCAAATACTTTTTGGTAGTTTAATTGGCATGACACTGAATAAGTAAATTAATTTTAGTAGATGTTATTTTTATTATGATCGCTAAGCTTACCCATGAATAATTAATATTTTTCCAACTGTTTAGATCTGACTTTATTTGTGTGAAAAGTATTTTGTAATTGTGTTCATATAGTTCCTGGGTTTGTGTTGGTAGGAAGATTCCCAAGTTTTTCATATTGTCTGCAGTCTTTTAAATGGAATGTCTCTTTTTTTCTCTTTCTTCTGGATTTTGTTGGTAATATATAGAAATACTGATGATTTATGTAGGTTTAATTTATATCCTGCAACTTGGTTAAAGTTGTTAATTGTTTCAATTAATTTTTTAGCTGATTCCCTAGGATTCTCTAAGGATACCATTTATTGTCTTCAAAGAATGATAGTTTTTTTTCCTCATTGCTTATTCCAATTCCTTCAATTTCTTTGTCTTGTCTTATTGCAATAGCTAGCATTTCTAGCACAATATTGAATAATAGCAGTGATAATGGACATCATTGCTTCACCCCTGATCTGATTGGGAAGGCTTCTAGCTTTATCTCCATTACAGAATACTTGCTGATGGTTTTTGATAGATGCTACTTATCATTTTAAAGAAAGGTACATTTATTGCTATGCTTTCTGATGCTTTTAGTAACAATGAGTGTTCTATTTTATCAAAACCTTGATATTTGGGATTTAAAAAATAAATATTTCTTGATTAAAATATTTAGTCAAACATATAAGACTAATGAAGTGTTCCTAAGGAGTTCTGGGAATAGAAATACACTTTCATTCAGACATGACAATTATAAAGACAGAAATACTTAAAAATCACATATAGAGGAAAATGTTAAATGTAATAATTTCATACCTGAGTATTACTCCTTGGGTGTATCCTCTTTCTCTTGTAGTAATAATACCCAGCCTGTCTTCTGATTGTAATTAAAATAATTCCCCTGAATTTCATTTTCCTTTCTAAATTTGTCTTGTCTTCAGGGCCTGCCATCATCTTATTTTTAGTTTAATTACTTTCTTGTTTATTTGTTTTCTTGATACAGATGGACAAAAGAAAGTTCAGGAGGAATTTCAAATCGACATGGATGCGCCAGAGACAGAACGTGCAGCTGTGACAATACAGTCTCAATTCAGAAAATTCCAGAAGAAAAAGGCAGGGTCCCAGTCTTAATGTTAAGAGTTTCCTCACAGTTAATGAAAATGAATAGAATTCTACAGTCATCAGATAAAAAAATACCTGAACAAATAAACTAATTAACAAAAACTCCCAAACAGCTGCATATTACACATCTGAATTTCAAACACGAAGTGCATGTATGGAAGTTCTTGATATTTATATCCATGTAGGAAAATGTAAGACAGTGATATTTAAGTGATTAAAGCTGTTTGTTTAGCTCTAGTACTATCTCTTCTGTAACTAACAACTTTATTTGATGTTATAATAAAACAAAATAAAGAAGTGTCTGTCTTCATTTGCTGTTTTATATCAATATAGCAAGTTATAAAGCATTACAAAACAAATTTAGATTTTCTTCTCCACTCAAAGCTTGGAGACATAATCTGGAAATTTGAATTTGTTATTATTGTTGTTTACTGAGGGAGGTAAAATGATTTCTCAGTCTTGCTTGACTTACTTGGAGAATATCCATTATGTCAACAATTTTTTTAGTAAAGGAAAAACAAGGAATTTGCTGCATAGGCCTGAACAGGAAGAATACATTTGCTATGTGTTTGATCTGGCTAGGGTACCAACTGAGGCAACAATTGCTGATCCAGGGTAGGAGAAATGAATATAATCCACCTATATTTGGTTCATATAATTTAGACTTACATAATGCATAAATAAAGAACAATACACTCTTCTCTCCCAACCACCCCCACCTAACTATTAATAATGTAGGGGAAAATTCATGGAAATTTTTAGCTCCTCATAACTATTATTTCATGTATTAAAAAACTCTTTGGCCTCTGGGAGAATGGAGGCTTTTCTGCTTCTTCTATATTTTCCTATGGTCTTCACCCTGTTTGTTACCCATTAGTATTATTTACCAGAATTTGCAATTTTGGGGCCTTTCCTATCTCTTCTCCTCCCCTGCAAGTCTCATAGTTGAATCACTGTACATACAAACTCACTTTGAGGCTTCATACATAGGGATGAGAAGCTAATGATTTAGAGAAAATGATTTCACAGGAGCAAAGTACCATGTACCTTCTTCAGTTGGTAAGGTTTATGGATGGATACTTTTCAGGCCAGGATAGTCTGTGCCATCCTGTGCTACGGGGGACTGGTTAAGAATCCAGAACACTGCCTGACTTTAGTAGCTCAGTGGTAGTGATACTGAGACCACACATATGCTAACAGAAACAGACAAAGGTGGGTATTTGAATCAGTAACCCAGGTAATTCAAACTAACTCTCCATACTTGACACTCACAACCTTTCCCCATTTAAGGTATTTAAGGTAAAAGAGCTTGCTTTATTGGGTTTCTCTTTTGGTGGAGAAAGGGATGCAAAGAATGGGGCTAGTGTGATTGGTCTGCCTAATATTCTCTTTCCATGTACATATGTTATTAAATCGTATTAGAATGGGATGTAGATACTAGACTACCTTGAAGGGTTAAGTGAATTCCTTCCCAGAAGAAAGGGGTTTGATCAGATTATCTCTAACTGATCAGTTGTCCAGCATTGATCCTCTCTGTCTTTATAATCTTATTAATTTGCATATTCATCATAAAAATGCACACTCTAGAGGAAAATCCCCATTTCTTGCTGAAAACTCTTGGGAATATGGCATTAAAAGGAGCTCATACCTTCTCAATATTGAAGATGTAGCTTGTACTTCAGCTTATAAAAGAGTGATCTTGGGGAATTCAGATGATTTGGCGATTTCTCAGAAGAAAAACAGCCTATTTCCCTTTTTGTATTATTCATTGGTCCCATTTCTTCTTATATTCTAGAAGCAGGTATTTCCATGCTTTAAAAGACTCGATCATCAGTCTTTTTGTTTTCCTCTCCTTTGGTAAACGTCTACTACTTCATCTACACCTTTGTGCAGGTGTTTTCCAAATCTTCACCCATCACTCCTGTGCTCTGGACCCTAAATTCTAACTGCCTATACATTTTCACCTACCCAAATGTTTCACCCTTGCCTCAAACATGTTCTTATCTTAGATCCATACCTATCTACCCACCCTCCATATTCTCCTCTTCATCTCCCTGACTGTTAACAACACCACTATTCTCTAAGTCTATCAGACTTAGGCCTTTACATCATATTTTATTCCTCTCACCCTCAACTACTCACCCTCACCTTACCATCTATAATTTTTAAATTTTGATTCTGTATCATCTGTCACATCTTGTATATTCCTTGCTTCAGGTAAAGCCTCATTATTTTTCATTATCTATTATTGTAATGCCCTCCTAACTTCCTTGATGTCATTCTTTTCTCTTCTCATCTATGCTACATATGAGATTAATCTTCTTAATGCATAATTCTTATCATCAATCAGCAAGCATATATTAAGCATCTAGCTTGATGTTCCAGGAACTTTGATAATGCATTGGTGATATACAAACAAGAGTGAGACTTCCATAAGGATCTTACATTCTACTGGGAATTACACTATGTTAATGAATAAGTGAATTCAGGATTTATACAAAATAAGAGAAGGTAATATCTATAAGCTGTGGGGGAGAGAAAGTTACCTTGAAGGAGATGGCACTTGAGCTGAACCTTGAGGGGAAGGAGAGATTTCTAGGTTCAGGGACAGACACAGACATACAGATGGAAGGTAAAGGAGGTAGTAAGTAGGACGCTTTGGTTGAGTATATCATGTATTAATTGGATTAGTATATAATCAGACTAGAAAGATAAGATAAAGTTAGAATAAGAAGACCTTTATTTTATTTATTTATTTTTTTTGGCTAGGCAATGGTGTTAAGTGACTTGCCCAGGGTCACACAGCTAGTAAGTGTTATGTGACTGAGGCTGGATTTGAGCTCAGGTCCTTCTGAATCCAGGACCGGTGCTCTATCCACTGCTCTACCTTGCTGCCCCAAGAAGACCTTTAAATGCAAAAAAGAGTTTTCTATAACTGCCAGGATCAAATGTAAAAAATGCTCTGGCTTTAGAAGCCCTTCATATTCTGGCCCCTTCCTACTTTTCCAATTCTCAGATACTTTACTCCCCTCCATTTACTTTATGATCTGATGACCCTGACTTCCTTGCTGCTCCTCACACAAGATACTCCACCTCCTGACTCCAGGCATTTTCGCTGGCTGTCTCCCATGTCTTGATCTTTCTTCCTCCATCTCTGTCTCATGGCTTCCCTGGCTTCCTTCAAGTTCTAGCTAAAATCCCATCCTCACCTTTCTTGATCCTTTTTAATACTAGTGCCTTCAATATCTTGATTATCCCTCATTTATCCTGTTTATATTTTGTTTGAACTAGTTGTTTAGTTGTTTGGGTGTGGAAGTTCCTTGAAATCAGGTACTGCTCTTTTTCTTTTTTACCATCTCGTTGTATTCCCAGCATTCAGGATAATGCTTGGCACATAATAATACATGCTTTTTGATTTATCTTATTCAAGAGACAACAGGGTTTCCTTGGAGCTTTGTGAACTACAGAGTAGTGACATGATCAGATCTATAGTTTAGGAATAGACATATGACTTTGTAGAATAATGGGTTGGGAAGATGGCAGCATGCCAAGTAGTAGATGATCCTATATCCCCTGCAAACAGCCCAGTGGAATTTAGAAATAGATTAGTCTAAAAAAGAAATAAGAAGAATCACAAAATCAAGAAGAGGTAGATTCCTCTATCCAACCTAAAAATTTGCTGAAGGATCCTTGAAATCCTGTTCAGATTCTGAGAGAGAGATGACAGGAGTCATTCGATAAATTTTAAGTATTAAGCTTCAACTATGTTCCAGACACTGTACCTGGAGATTCTTTGCAATGGAGATGCAAAGAAAGGCAAAACACAGTCCCTACTCTTGCTGAGCTTACAGTCTAATGGGAGAGACGACATGCAAACAACTGTGTTCAAACAAGCTATATAATGGATTCATAGGAAATAACAATTAGAGAAAAGGCAATGAAATTAAGAACTATTGGGAAAGACTTTATTTTAAATTCATTTCAAAATCACTTTGGTGGCTGAATGGGGGATGAACTAGAGTGGAAAGAGACTTATTCCAGGGAAATCTACCAGTGCGGTGTTGTAATGGTCCAAATGTGAGGAAATGAGGGTCTCTCCCAGGGTAATGGTAGTATCAGAGAGAAGGGAGCATATTTGAGATATGTTTCAAAGCTGAAATTGATAGGCCTTGGATTGGATATGGGGGATGAGTGATAGTCAGGATTTTAAGATTATGTCTAGTTGCAGGCTTGGGAGAATGGGATGATGGTGGTGCCCTTGACAGTAAATAGAGAACTTTGGAAGGGAGGTAGATTGGGGGAAAAGATATTGAGTTTAATTTTGAACATATTTAGTTTAAGATGTCTACTATACACCCAGCTCAAAATATTTGATGGGCAGGTGGAGATGAGAGACTGGAAGTCAGCAAAGAGGCTAGGGGTAGATAAGTAAATTTGAGAATTATCAGTATAAAGATAATTGAATTCATGGGGGTTGATGATATCAACAAGTAAAATACTATACGAGAAAAGAAGGTCCAGAAGAGAGATCCATGGGACACCCACAGTTAGTGGGCATGCTTGATGGCGATCTAGCTAAGGAGAATGAGAAAGAGGGGTCAGATAGGTAGGTAGAGAACCAGTACAGACTAGTGCTATGAAAATGTAGTGAGAAGAATATCAAGGAGAAGAGAGATCAGTAGTGTCAAAGGCTGCAGAAAGATCAGGAAGAATGGAGAATGACAAGAGACCATTTCATTTAGCAGTCAAGAAATCATTGGTAACTTTGGAGAGAGCAGTTTTGTTAATGATGAGGTCAGAAACAAGACTATAGAGATGTAAGAAGAAAATAAGAGAGGAGAGGAAGTGGAGGCACCATTGTAGCTAACTTTCTCAAAGAGTTTAGCCACAAAAGGCTGAAAGATACGTGGGACAATGATAGGGATGGAAGAGCTGAGTTAGTGTTTTTTGAGGATAGAGGAATGTATTGCTAATGTATCTCTAGGCATCAACCAATCATGCAGTCTAAGGACTGACAGCGATCACTCAGCTGGGTGGAGATTTGAGGGGTTTGCTCTAAAGCATTCCCTTAGATGAAAAGAGGGTGTTCTTCTCTCACCTTTAAACAAGGGGTGGGGAGCATATATTCTCAGCCTCATTGTGAGGATGGGGCATTCCACCTATCCTTGAAGTGAGGAGGGGGTATTCCCTCTTAAGCATCTGAGCAATGGTATGTGTCATCCCTAGATGGAAGACAGGTAAAGAACCACCTGAAATC